TTTGGTTTCTGTTTTGTTTTGTTTTTGGAGACAGTCTCTCTCTCACCCAGGCTGGAGTGCAGTGGTGCTGGGATTACAGGCGTGAGCCCCCACAACTGACCAAGATATGGCTGTTTTGAGCTAGCTGCCTTAAGTATTTTTTTATGTAGATTTTTTGGAGTTTTGATTTTGAGAATGTGGTATAATGGACAAAGAATTAGGTTTTATTGTCAGGTGGATTTGGGTTAAATCCTAACCTCTGGCATTTACTGGCTGACAGGATAAAAGTAAATATCTCAGTGTTTTAACAATTGAAATGCGTGAGTATATACTAGGTGCTCAGTATGTGTTCAGATACTGTATTTAATTCTGGGGATTTAAAAATGAATAGATAGGCCGGGCACAGTGGCTCACACCAGTAATCCCAGTACTTTGGGAGGCCTAGGCAGGAGAATTGCTTGAGTTCAGGAGTTCAAGAACATCCTGGGCAACATGGTGAAAACTCGTCTCTACAAAAAAATACAAAAGTTAGCCAGGTGTGGTGGCGTGCACTTGTAGTCTCAGCTACTCAGGGGGCTGAGGCGGGAAGATAGCTTGAGCCTAGGAGGTGAAGGCTGCAGTGAGCCATGTTCATGCCCCTGCCCTCTGGCTTGGGTGACAAAGTGAGATCCTGTCTCAAAAAATAAAGATGAATGGATAATTCTCATCTTTAGAGAGCTCAAAACTTAGTGGTGAATACTTTTAAATAGGTCATTAGAATACCAAGCAGTAGGTACGAGGACTGAGGGCTAAAATACTAGAACTGGAGGTAGGAGACCAATAAGGAGGCTGCTGCAACGGACCAAGCAGTAGATGATGAGAGCTTTGAGTGAAGGCAGTGGTGAGAGATGCAGACCAGGGAGGGAGAGGAGGTTAAGCTCTTGGTGATTACTTGAAGAGGGCTGGGAAGCAGGAGGAAAGCTGTGGTGATTTTTAGGTTGGATGGAAATGGCAAAACCACCTGAGAGAACACAGGCTGGGCCAGTTTGCGGGAAAGGTTGGTGGGCATGTGGGCATGGTGGTTGAATCACCTGTGTCTAGGCGGAAATTCCTTATAGGCAGTTAAGGAAAAAACAAGCTTAGTGGTGGAGTAAAAGCTTCATTAAATTAGGTTTTAGTGGTATCACCTGACATTGGAAAAGGTATTATCTGCTAATATCTTAACATTTTCTTTTGTCTTGTATCTGCTTTCCTCTGGCAGGTGCAGAGATTCTTAGAAGAGGAGGTGTATCCCCTGTTAAAACCATATGAAAGTGTGATGAAGGTGAAAGCAGAATTATGTCTCTAGAGTTGGAAGAGAATTAAACGAAAAATCATTAATTGCTGAGGCATGAAAATTGTGTTACTGTAATGCCTTATTTTACCTCGAGAATTGTTACCTTAAATTAATACAGCACTTTCTTCTATCCGTGGTCTTTCCCATTTCTCAGTCTCACATTTCTCAACAACGCAGAAACAAAGAGCATTGAAGTTTACTCTGTTGTTTACAACAACACAAACTTGCATAATAAATGTAGTTCGTACTTGATCTCTGTTCTTTCAAGGCATATTTTCCAGCTGCCTCAAGTTTAGTCCTTTTCACGTGTTCGTTTGCTTGTAAAGTAGCAAGAAATTTCTGGTCCTGTCCTCTAAAAGTGAATTAGATCTAGGTCTAGCAAAATAGCCTGGACTCAGTGATTGAGTCCATGATCAGATACCTTTTATTTCGGTTATTTTTGGCTAGTATAAGTAATGGAGTTTGGAACTACAGTAAATACTTAAAAACAAAACAGAACAAAAAAAAACCCCTGATGTGACCTTCAGGCTTATTCAGCCAAAGTTGTGCCCAACCTCATTTCATCTTTTGATAAGGCTTATATATCAGGGAAATGCTAATTGAGTATGTTGATTTCATCAGGGCACCTGACAGTCTTTATTCCTTGTTGCATGGATTTTGTTGTTGAGGCTTGCTCTGTCACCCAGACTAGAGTACAGTAGCACAATCTTGGCTCACTGCAACCTCCACCTCCTGGGTTCAAGCGATTCTCCGGCCTCAGCCTCCCAAGTAGCTGGGATTACAGGCACCCGCCGCCACACCTGGCTAACTTTTGTATTTTTAGTAGGGATGGGGTTTTGCCATGTTGGCCAGGCAGGTCTTGAACTCCTGACCTCAAGTGATCCACCCATCTCAGCCTCCCAAAGTTCTGGGATTACAGGCATGAGCCACCATGCCCGGCCTAATCTTGTTTTCTTTTTTACTTGTTTACAGTGTAAGCAAATGCCATTGGACAAGAACATTGTCTGTGTCATTCCTTGTTGTATTTCCAATAGCAAGAGCACATCAGATACTTGGCAACCAGGCAGTCTTCCAGCTTCCGCCACCACGCCCAACTTCCTTGTTGCAGTATTATAGCTGATTGAAGCAACTGTAGCCAAATATTGAGTTAATTACCTACCTGCCAGGAGAGCCCTTGTTATTTAGCCCATTCTCATCCTACATATTTTTCAGCGTAGATGAAAATGAAAGCTTTTGTTTATCAGATTTGCAAATGACACAAAACTGGGAGAATTAACAAGTACATTTATTTGTAAAATAAGTTTTCATCTGTAACCTAAACAGGCTGAAATGATGTGCCTTAAACTAAGAGGAAAAATAAGATCAATGTAAATAAGTTAACCTTAAATTCAGTATGCACCAGAACTGAGAGAAGACTGTTTTAGGAGGTGTTAATGGTTGTCCAGTGCCCAAAAAGCCACCAGAGGCTTACTGCTCCACACTCTTGGCATTACCTTCAATTTTGGATACCCAGTCTGAGGAACAGAGATAAACTGGAGAGCGAACCTCCAAAAAGATCTTGTGGTGGAGGAATGTTAGGGCTTTTTATCCTATCCAGGAGAACACTTGTCAGCACTTCAAATATTGTCGTGTGGAGGAAGAGTGACTTGATTGTGTGTTGCCCCAAGAGACACTGAGATCAATACCCATTATTAAGGCTCTGAGATTGGCTTGGGGCCAGACATTGGAACCCCCGAGATAGCAATCCACCCTCAATCTCCCAGGTCAGGCAGAAGCTGGAAGACTGCCTACTTAGGAATGTTGTGAGGGAGAGGAGGCTGAATCGGTTCCAGTTTTATCTAAAAGTAGCCAGAAAAGCAGGTTGAGATGATGCGCACTTGCAGTCCCAGCTACTTGGGAAACAGGCAATAGGGTCACTTGAGCCCAAGAGTTCAGTCCAGGCTGGGTGACATAGCGAAAACTTGTCACTTAAAGCCAACCTAAGAGAAGAGCTCAACCTATTGGGAAAAACAATAGAAGGCAATTCTGAAAACCAAATTCTGAATATAGGCTAGTATAGCAAGCAAGTGGGGATAGCATACAGCCATTTGCTCAACTTCCAGAAAGAGTTACTCTATTCATCTCTTTAAAAAATCTTGAAAAGGGCCAGGTGCGGTGGTGGCTCATGCCTGTAATCCCAGCACTTTGGGAGGCCGAGGCAGGTGGATCACCTGAGGTCAGGAGTTCAAGACCAGCCTGACCAAGAAGGTGAAACTCCATCTCTACTAAAAATACAAACAATTAGCCGGGCATGGTGGCAGGCGCCTGTAGTCCCAGCTACTCGGGAGGCTGAGACAGAAGAATTGCTTGAACCTAGGAGTCAGAAGTTGCAGTGAGCCAAGATCATGCCACTGCACTCCAGCCTGGGCAATGGAGCGAGACTCAGTCTCAAAAAAAAAAAAAAAAAAAAAAAAATCCTGAAATGATAAGTCTGAAACAAGGAAATTAAGTCATTGGACTCTGACCAGATATTCTGTCTACTTCCTTCTCTGGTATGGGCAACTTAGAGGCAGCAACTACTATCAGTTTATCTAATGTGAGACTTTATATTACATAACAGATGTTGGGGATATAGGATACCATGGATTTTAGTTAATACATTTCCTCATAGAAAATAAGGAAATAAGATAACAGTCTTCTTCCTGTCCTAACAATTCTGTTAGACTAATGATCTCCAGTGATTGGCGATTTGACCTGGTTTCTTCCTGGACTATTTGAGTGGGTGGATTTGTTGGTGCATCTCTGTCTTCTTTCCTTTTCCATTCTCCTTTGTTTCTGTATTTACACAGTTGTATGCAACTCTGTAATCTGATTTTCCCATGTAGCATTTTAATTTGATGTATTGGGTGGTCTGCATGTTCACTGGAAAACATGTTAAATGTACATTTATATATATATAATGTAGATTTATATATATATATAAAAGACAAGATCTCGCTCTGTCGCCCAGGCTGGAGTGCAGTGGTGTGACCACAGCTCACTGCAGCCTCGATTTCCTGGCTCAAGCGATCCTCTCACCTCAGCCTCTTGAGTAGCTGGGACTATGGCACACACAACCACACCTGGCTAATTTTTTGTTGTTTTTTGTAAAGACAGGGTCTCACTATGTTAACCCAGGCTGTTTTCTTTAAGATTAGTTTAAACTCACGCAGACTCCAGCATGAAAACTACCCAGATGTTAGGTTCTGGGCAGAACATGGGACAACTGATGAAACGTCTGCTCAGCTGAAGTCAGACACCTGGACACTTAGTGCCCTCTTTCCCTGGCTGGTGCTCAGTTTCATTTAAGAACCAGGAGATCCTAATGTTTGTAACCATAGCTTTAGTGGAAGCACAAGGGTTAGGAGTCCCCAGAAAGGTATGATGAAGCCTGGGTGGATGTGAGGATTGGTGAGACGGCAAAAGCATCGCTGTGCCTGCAGGCCTTGGGACGGGGTCGCAAAGCTCCTGGCCTCCTCCCGCCAAGTGGGCGGGAACGACTACAGCCCCCAGCATGACCCGCGGCCGCCTATGCTCCGCCCCGCCACGCGTGCGCTTAGGCGCCGCTGAGCGCTGACTGGGTGCGAGCGGGGAAGCCGCCAACCTGACCCGGATTGGCGCTGAGGTGGCCCGTGGGGCAGGTGAGTGCGGGGACGGGAGTCAGCGGAGACTGAACGGCGCCCACAAGTTCCCCTCAGGCTGGGGTTGCGGGGCGTTTGTGGTGGGACTGTTTGACCGAGGGATGTGCGGGCCAAAGGCGCCCACTAGAGAGAAGCACCGCCTCGGGCCGGAGAGCTGCCGGGCCGACCTTACTCGCGTCGCGGGTGGAATGGGGGCCGGGGACGCGGCGGGGCGGAGAGATCGGCTGCGTACCCCGGACCGGCTGACCCTAGACGGCCGAGGCCACCTCAGGTGTTCGGGGCGGGAACCGGAATCCACCGCGCTGGCAGCCGGGAGCGGTTTTACAGAAACCGCGCCTGATGCGGGGGGCTTTTTAAAAAAGCCTGGCTGGCTCCGGCACGGGGACAGCTGCAGACTCCTCCTCAGGTTTAACTTGCGCCTTTTGCTTTGAGAGTCAGATCCAGGTGCAGAACCCGGGCTCGGATCCACGCCGAGACTCGGAACACAGGTGTGTTTGCATTTTAGCACTGGGGAAACTGAGGCATACGTTAGCCAGAATCACCCGGTGTGGTTAGGATTGGAATTTTGAAAATTATTCTCATACTTAGTTTACTGATCTAGGCTCTTTTTTATTTGGAGAGAAAAATGAAGCTGTTTCAAAGGTTTTCAGTGACTGGGTGACTAGCGTGTCTTCCAGTCTCGCGCAGCCCAGTGGGGGTGGGTTGATGGCTTTTTGTTTTGTGGTGGGATAGAGATATCCTGGAATATTCCACACCCTTCTTGATTCTTTCTTACTAAATTCAAGTCCAGTCAGACTCTGCTTCACAAAAACTGCATTTTCAACTTCGACTCGTTTACTCGTAGTTTTCGTGACAGGTTTGTGATTAGGTTTGTAAGTACATACACTTCCCACTTTTCTTGCTCATCTCTTTTAGTTCCAATTCTCTCTGCACTCTAAACAACTGAATTACATCTTTCTTCTACATATTTCTCTTCTTGGTGATTAATTTGTAATTTTTTTCTTTTCTTTTTTTAATTTAAGACTGCGTTTCGCTCTTGTTGCCTGGGCTGGAGTGCAGTGGCGCGACCTCGGCTCACTGCAAGCTGCGCCTCCCGGGTTCAAGGGATTCTTCTGTCTCAGCCTCCTGAGTAGCTGGGACTACAGGCGCCCGCCACCACGCCCAGCTAATTTTTGTATTTTTAGTAAAGAGGGGGTGTTTCGCTGTGTTGGCCATGCTGGTCTCGAACTCCTGACCACAGGTGATCCGCCCGCCTCGGGCCTCCCAAAGTGCTGGGATTGCAGGCGTGGGCCACTGCGCCAGGCCGGATTAATTTGTAATTCTATAGATAGATATCTTTCCTGGCTTTTGATAGTCGTAAGTGAATGCAGCTTTTTCATCCCTAATTATCACAGTAGCCTGAGCTTTAGTTCTTCTCCGTGTCCCTTTTTAAGCATGGAGGTTTGTGGTCTGGGAGGGAGGGGAGAGGGTGAGGTGTCTGTTGATCAGCTATGGGTAACAGGTGAACATAACCAATGACCAGAACATTAAAAGGCTGTAAACAAACAATTGCTTCAATGTAAAAACGCATACCTCGTGAATTTGGAAACATATCAGGTTGATAGAAAAGTGAACTGGGGTAGAACCTCACAGAAATGAACCTGACATTAGGGTGAAATATTGAGAAGGGAAGTGAGGAGATAATCATCTCTTTTATTTTACAGCCATCTTTCTGTCGCTAGAGTGGATGTAGGAACATCCTGCTGGCTCAGAAGCTTAAAAAAAGCTCTGTGTGTTTTCAGTTTTTCTCTTAGTTCTCAATGAAGGTTTTGGCAGGAGCCCAAAATCTTGTACCTTTGATAATTTAACATGAGTTTCATCTTGCTTACTCTCCAGATAGCCTGTTATTCAGCTGGTGACGTCAGTAATTTTCCACAGCAGCCGTTCATGAGCTCATGCAGACTGTCACAAGGAAATGGGAATAGCACAATGAGTGTTACAGAAGAAAAAAAGATCCTGTTTCTTTGCCATCACATATTATACACAGACTTAGGGAATCTAGACTGGAGCACAGGATATGCGGGAGGGGTTAGAACACCAGAGTGCAGGCTCCTACCTGTAGTAGTAATCATTGAAACCATTTATTGAATGCCTTCTGCTTTCCACACACAGAATTTAAGTCTACCTGACTCTAAACTCCTCTCTTTTAACTGCTGTACTACCTTAACAACTGTGTTCAAGTATTTCTCATTCTTAAAACTATATGAAACTTCCCTGTGATCATATTTCCCTTCAAATTACTACCATTTCTCCTGCTTTTCCTTTCTAGACTTGTCCTTAAGAAGCAGACTCTACATTCTTCTCTAACATTTACTGCTTTGTTCATCACAGTCTGGCTTCTACCCTCAACTCTGTTGAAACTACTCTCATGAATTCCTCTCAATGATTTATTGAGTGTCTACTGTGTATATCATCTTCTAGACTTATAAAGACGGCTAAGACATGGTTTTTGCCCTCAGGTAGTTTAGGGATTAATGAGAGAGGGTAGTTTATACATGTCAATATATGTTTACCACTGATAGGTCAGTTGTGGTGTTTCGTTTTGTTTTTTTTCTTTTTTCTTTTTTTTTTTTTGAGACAGTCTCCCTCTATCACCAGGCTAGCATGCAGTGGGGCAATCTCGGCTCACTGCAGCCTCCACCTCTCGAGTTCAAGCAGTTCTCCTGCCTCAGCCTTCTGAGTAGCTGGGACTGCAGGCGTGCGCCACCACACCCGGCTAATTTTTGTATTTTTAGTAGAGATGAGGTTTCACCATGTTGGCCAGGATGGTCTCCATCTCTTGACCTTGTGATCCGCCTGCCTTGGCCTTCCAAAGTGCTGGGATTACAGGCGTGAGCCACCACACCTGGCCTGATAGGGTGGGGTTTTTTTCTTTTCTCTTTTGTTTTTTTTTCTGAGATGGAGTCTCCCTCTGTCACCCAGGCTGGAGTGCAGTGGCGTGATCTCGGCTCACTGCACGCTCTGCCTCCTGGGTTTACTTACTCCATTCTCCTGCCTCAGCTTCTGGAGCAGCTGGGACTACAGGCGTCCGCCACCATGCCCGGCTAATTTTTTGTATTTTTTTAAGTAGAGACAGGGTTTCACCATGTTAGCCAGGATGGTCTCGATCTCCTGACCTCGTGATCTGCTTGACTCGGCCTCCCAAAGTGCTGGGATTACAGGCGTGAGCCACCGCACCCGGCCAATAGGGTATAGTTTGAGAGTTGGGGTAGGAACACTTTATTGCGAAGATGTCACTGGACTGCCAACAGAGAGAGAAAGCTTAAATTGGTCTAGAGTGTAGTGTCAAGACTGCATGCTTAGGCATATACTTTTAGGGAAAAGCTGTATCCACTGAGAGATGACATGGTTGAAAGATACAGTATAGGCTTTAGAGTCTGACAGACCTGGTAACTGAACCACAGTTTCTTCTTTGTAATATTTGCCTGCATTGTAAGCTCTATGAAAGGTAGGGGCTTTGTGTTGTTCACCACCCCACCCCGTCTCCTAGAACAGTGGTAGGTGAGCAAGAAATATCTGTGGAAAGGGGCCCAAAGGGAGACCCTGTCTCAAAAAACTAGGAAAAAAAAAGAAAAGATAACAGATCATTTCCCTTTTCCCTCTCTTGTGTTTGAATTTCATTTGTAAATATCCTCAATTACGTGACTTGAGTATAGGGTTAAAGTCCAATTACCACTTTTTTTTTTTTTTTTTGTCTTTTGAAAACAGTATGGTAGTCAGGAGCACCAACAATGAAGTTCAACTTCTGGCACTACTGCTTGCTTCCTTGCTTGCCTGCTTGCTTGATTGATTGACAGCGTCTTACTCTGTTGCCCAGATTGGAGTGCAGTGGCATGATCATAGCTCACTGAAACCTCAAACTCCTGGGCTCAAGAGATCCTCCTACCTTAGTCTCATGAGTTGTTGTGATTACAGGTGCATGCCACTGCACCCGGCCTAGCTTTACCATTATAAACTTTGAGAACTTACTAGTTATCTCTCTGATGCCTCATTTCTGTCACCTGCAAAAATGGAATAATTAGTGCTACTCATAATGATAGCTAATACGTATTAGGTGTTTGCTATATATACCAGTCATAGTTCTAAGAATTTTACTTGTATTAACTCACAATCCTCACATCAGCCCTGTGTATTGTTAGTATTATGCCCATTTACAGGTGAGGCAACAGTCACAGAAACAGTAACTTGCTGAAGATTGGAGGAGTGGAGTCAGGATTTGAACTTAGTCTGACTCTAGAGTTTACGCTCATAATCTCCACCTTCATAGTTTTTTGGTTTTTTTAATTTAGCATGTAATCAAGAAATAGAGTAGTTTTGAAGATTAAATAAAATCTATATAAAATGGCTGTGACAAGCATTTACTGTATTAAGTACTACAGTTAGCTTCAAGTTTATAAAGCATTTTGCACTCATTTTCTTTGATTGTCATAGGAACAACCAAATATGTTTGTGAGCATCACTGTCTGGCAGGAAGCAGGCACGCATTTGGTCACTTTCCCAGTCATGCAGCATGTGTGGAGACAGTACCCTAGTGTTGCTCCTCCGTATCTAGATCACATGGAATTTGAAGCATCACATTTTGAGAGAATTTAGTAGACATAAGTTGTTTTGGCCGGTCCAGCATCCAATCCAGGTTCTTCTGGGGATAACAGCTCAATTTTGCTTTGGAGAACAGTTCATCCCTGACCAACTAGGTGGTAGGCACATGGCCCAGGTCAGGCCAACAGATGTTAGGCAAATAGATGCTTTCCTCCTTTAATTTGAATCTTAGGTTGAATGACACAGTAACAAAAGTTCAGTAAACAGTTGCTGCTCCTTCATGACAACCATAGGCTAATTCCTAATATCTGGGCGCTAGAGCTGCTGTTGTTTTCAACCACCTGAGTCTTCAGCTTTTCCTCAGTTCTGTGTCCTACTACATATCCTTCCAGTACATTCCTGTCTTTCATAAGTTACCCAAAGTCAGTTTTGGTAGCTTGCAGCTGAGACACCCTTAACTTACTTTACATGGCAGGAGATCATGTCATATAAGAGTTAAACTAGGCCTGGCGCGGTGGCCCATGCCTGTAATCCCAACACTCTGGGAGGCCAAGGCAGGTGGATCCACTGGGCTAAGGAGTTTGAGACCAGCCTGGGCAACGTAGTGGGAACCTGTCTCTACAAAAAAAAATTAAAAAATTATTAATAGCTGGGCATGGTGGCATGTGCCTGTAGTCCCAGCCACTTGGGAGGCTGAGGTGGGAAGATCACTTGAGCTTGGGAGGTCAAGGCTGCAGTGAGCTGTGATCGCGCCACTGCACTCCAGCCTGGGTGACAGAGCTAGACCCTGTCTCAAAAAAAAAAAAAAGTTAAAATCAGCTAAGTTTAACGTGAAGAGGAGAGAAATCTTGGAGAAGATCTGAGTATCTTCAGATGTCTGAAGTTTATAGAATACAAAGTACCCCTAAAA